GGGTTCAGCTATGTCTATACGGGGGTGTCGGAAGATGAGAAGACAGAGCGCGACATATCCGCTATAAAGAATTTAAAATAAATAAATTAATAATATTATTAACAATTAAATCGCCACTAAATTAGTACATAAATATAATATTGCTATTAAATTGAATGTCGTAACTTCATGATGATAACTTTTATTATATGTTATTTAAAATATACGTTCTCCATCTCAAATTAGTAGTGTCTTGCCCCTGTACATCATACTTTTCCTAACAACAACAGAGTCAAGCTATTTATCTATATAACTTTATTTAAGGAAAATTTTTGAGTATATTGTACTATATACTATAACTAATATACGAACTTCCGATTTAGTTGTATGTAGTTAATCGGGGCCTCTTGCCCATAAGTTTTCCATATCTGGTTTGGATTTTATCTACCTAACATTGTTCTCGAGATTAAGAAACGACAGCCAGACAGCGACAGTGAGAAGTCTACAATTTTTTCAAATTGCAAGCAAAGAAGTCAAAATATAGCATAAATATTACAATACAAAGATATTTATCCAAGGAGAAAAACGAAGATCCAGACAACAGGTAAATGTTTTATGGCTCCAGGGAATATGAGTCTAGGTTTCTATCTGGGTCTTGATTTTTTTCTTTAGATAGACATGAAACTTATACGATAAAATTAATAATTTATTTTTTGTTTACTAAGAAATGTTACATGTTTAATTTTCACAAATTTCAAAAAATATATAAATGAATATTCAATTTATGATCTCTTTTCCTCATGTGATATTTCTTCTTATTTATCTTCATTTTATGCTTTGAGTAATATTATATTATCGCATTTCAAAACTATACAAAGAATATATGAATATTTTTAATTATATAATACTGTATCCTTTACACAGACATAATACATAATAAGTGCGTGTTTTTGTCTAAATAGTGTACACTTTGACTGCATTTTTACATTTTTTTATGAGAAAAGTGCGATAATGACGCCAATTTGACATAAAACTGATTTAATAGTTTACACTATTATATTAATTTGATGCCATTTTACACTTAAAAGAATATAAAAATGACATGAAGCTGACATAAAAATATACAGTATATTATTCTGGCAAAATGAATACATCTTAAGCAGAAAGGAAAATTTATTTACTTTAAGATGTATTTAAGTGTATCATTTTCTTAGTATTTACATAAATATCTTCTTTAAAAATTAGCATAAATGTTTAAAAATATAATTACGAGCAAGAAAATATTCTGTGAATAATTTAAGATCTTTTTTAAGGATGTTAAAGCAACTTATTTAATTTTTCTTCTTTTCGCCTCTTAAACATTCATCAATGTCTTCAGGAAAATCGCATAATAGAGTTTCCGGAAGATGTCAAGAAGGCACTTTCACGTCTCAAAATCTTGAATCTTGTGTAAACAATCAGTGATTATAAGCATTATGTTGCTTTTCAACATCATAATATTTTATTATTGTCTTAAGAACTTGACAAATTGTCTACTGTTTGAATATCTTCTTCTCTGCCATTTCTACGCCTTGGATATCTTACGGTAAAAATTTTAAATATGGGATTTTTTGTGAGTAATTTAAACTTATTGCTTGATAAACGTATTTAAATTTAATTTAAATTAAAAATAACGCTGTTTTCTTACATTTTACCTCACATTTCTGTAACAAAAAAACTAGTTCAATATGCGTGAAGATCGACAATGGCATGTAAAATGAATATGCTAAATAACGAACATATATTAAACTAAATCACTCTGTTTAGCATATTTGAGAATATTATTAAGAACATATATTTTCAAAGCGTCATCGAGAGCGGAAAATTAGCATTTGGAGGGTGTAAAGGAATGAAAGTCATTTTAATTAGATGTAAATTCTGTCATTCCATCTTGTCATATCATTTGTCTTATGGGAAATAACCAAATGTGAGTAATCCTTAATTCCAACATAATTAGATGATATACAAAGAAATTATTTATTTGTTAAATGCAGAATCAGATTTTGTCAAACGTCATCCCCTTGTGTATTTATCGATCTAAAACTTAACCTAAAGCAATTGGATACAAATTAAAGAAAACTCGAATAACGAGTGATTATGTGTACTTACTTAACAATAAAGTTTCGTCGAATATAATTGAGTTCTGTAGTTTCAATTTTTTGAATTCTATCGAGGCTTCAACTTATCGATTTCTTTATGTTTTATTTCAGTTTCCAATAATGGAGTAATGTAGTAGTCGCGTGTATTTTCTGTAAAAAAAGAAGTAGAAGATTCACAAAAAGTATCTATTGATGGTATTCTAAAGGATGACAAGCCTAGAGCAATATTTGCAAGATATCTTAGATACACAATGATGCTTTCTTTTTCGTTACAAAGAACTTTTCATCAGTAATACAAAATTCTTCTGCGTGGTTTAATATATTCTAATCATTAAAATTCGTCAAAATTCTTTTTACAAATCTCCAAAATTTTTAGAAAAAAATGTCATTATGTTAGTTTAGCCTAGTAATTTTTCTAGGCAGACCCATCAATACGAAGTAAAGAAGAATCCGAAGAGCAAACTAACATTTGCTTTTATTCGTAGTCGCCATCAGTGACCGAGTGGATCGAACTGCTCGCTGTGGGTTCCTGTCTCACCAGCGTTGTTGGCAGCGTGGAGTTTTCCGGATTTTTTCCAACACTTAAATAGGAACCAATTTCCTATAGAAAGCCCTCCCTGAAGGTGTTGTGTTGCCTTGTTTCGTTAATCTAATTCTTAGTCGCAGGTATTGAACAGCTCTTGTTAGTGTCATCTATTCCCATTTCACTTCTAAGAATAGCTTTAAAATTAGAAAAAGTCCTCAAAATAAATTTAATATTAATTAAATTAATTTCGGTAACAAGTTAAACGTTGTGTAAAAATAACTAATTCTACATAATTAACTAAATTTCAAGGATAAAATACTTTTAAAAAAGTTTGATTTGGTTTCATGGTATAAGGACATGGGCGATCTGACAAAGGCAGATACCTCCCGCGAAGATTTTTATAAGAAGTTTACCCCCATTTAGGTTTTAGATTTGTTAAAAAACTTCGGAANTAGATATATATATATATATATATTGATCATGATGGTGATAAAAATAATTTCATTTATTTTTTCAACAATCATTATTGCTTATTTTACATAGATATTATAAGCCAGTAGGAATAAAATAGTAATAAACACTGCACATAACCAACATTCAGCAAGAAACCTCTTGCTGGATATTGGTTATATATACAGTGTTTATTAATGAGTAGTTGAATAAAATGGTATTTTTACTATATTATTCAGCCATTGGAATAGAAAAAAAAATTAAATCAGTCAGAAGTATATTGTTCAATCTATTCTGCATTACTCATTTATCAATGTTTAAATATTTGCTGATATTTGAGGTATAATAACTTACAAAAATTTTTAATAAAGTTAATATTATGATTTAAAACTTAGAAAATATTCTATTTATTTTTTTAATAAATAAATAAGCCTGTACTGATAAATTTATAATTTGAGAAATGAGTATCTGTAATTATAAAAAAGTTAATTAATATATTGTATTTGATTAAACTTATGATTATGATTTGTTGAATTTTATAATTAATTTTCATTTAACTATTGAACACTAAACTGGGAAAAAAAATTATAAATTTAATTGAAATTAACATTGTAGAATCAACAGCCTTATGAGTAAGATAATAAAGACATAACTATCTACACTGGAGATCTCAGTTTAAGTCAGTTTCTGAAAATGGATAGTTTGATCCAGATAAATTTTTTGCCTCCTGCTCCATTACAGGCATGATTCAGTTGCTAGTGGCCAAGTGGTTATGTTCCCTGAACATTGGGAGTTCGGTAATGGGTTCACACCTTGCCAAGATGGACTGGCCATGTGGAGTTTTCCAGGTTTTCTCCACGTCTACAATGCTTGAATAGGGACCAGTTACCCTTAAAAAAGACCTCCCCAGAAGGCATCCCTCTAGGCAGATCACCCAAGTGTTGCATTGTAGTAATTGTTCATTTGTTTTGTTATGTGCATGGAAAAAACTTCTTTTGCTGCCTACAAGATACAATTATATATGTATATGTATATATTTATTTTATATATATGTATATATCATCAACAAAAACATAATTTATAAAAGATGAAGTATTATTTAAAGTTAATAAATCTTTTTATTATATTTTATGTTCATTAGAGAGTTTAAATTCAAGTCAATCATAATTTATCTTAAAGTTCTAATAAAATATTTTGCACTTTTGCCTAAGTAGTAATTAAAAAAAATAATAATAAATAGTTTTCCAAATGTTAATTTAAAAGTAATACTAATTTTATTTTATTTAACTGAAATATATAAAAATGATACTCATTAATAAACACCCAGTTTTGGTTAATAAAATTTTTAATGTTAAGTCAATATTAAAGATAATATAGAGTGAGACAAATGAAAACATTTGAATATTTAAGAACTATTGAGTGTAATAGAGATTTTTTATTTTTTTATAAATATCATAACATGAAATTGGAAGTACTGAATATTAACCCGTTTCCTTGATGATATATAAAAACAGAATCAGATAGTTTTCCTTTAAAGTATATTTACTTAAATTGAAACTGTCAATTAAGTAACAGTAGAAAAATAAAAGTGAAATTTATAGATTTGACATTCAATACAGCTATTATTGTTACAACATATCCATTAGTTTTACTACATCAGCATCTTCCAATCCATTCTCTCAGTTCTCAGTTTGCTCCCTGATCTCTTTTTTCTCTCATTACTCTAATTTTGGAATCATTGAAAAAAGCATCTTCCTTAACATAAGTTTTGTTGTTACAATTGATATGAAATGAGCAGATTTTTAAGTTCAGTTAATTTTATAGAAAAAAATGAGATTTCAAAATTTCTGTTGGATTTCCTTTTTTACTGTACATAACCGATTACTAAATGTTTGTAAATAATTAAAAATTAATATTTAATTTCATTTTCAGATAATACTACAATGGTTATTGTAGTAAAAGCTTTCTTAGAACAGGATGACGATTGTAAATCGGAAATCCGAAGATTCCTGGCAAATGAGGAAATGTGTCAGAATTTCGCACTTCTTCATGACAAAATTCTTTCACTCTTTTCAACATTATCTGGAAAAGAATTTGCTCTTAAGTGGAAAGGTACAAGTTTTATTGTTTTTTCTAGTTTTGTTGTTTATGAATTTTTTAAATCTTATAATATAATTGAGATGTGTTGATGATAATAATGTGAGAAGCCGGGGTCTACTGATATCGTTTTATACCCCCTTTGATCAGTGTCAGATTGACGAGATCTGCTGAATGTCACTGGATGGCGAGATCTATAAATTGTCATCGGGATTGCAAGATTCTTCCGACGTCTGGACTTGACACCAGTTAAACTAGTAAAAGTTTGCATCCTAACTTGCAAATCATAAATAAATGTTGAGTAGGAGGGCTAGTTTGACCATTGAGTGGGGGAGCACAATGGTTAAGTTGATAGGGTGTCTTCAAGCTCCAGAAGTCCACACGAGACCCATTTTAACAAGTAGTTCAATTTAATGAGCTAAAGCAAGGAGTACATAGAAGCTATAGCACTAAGCCTATGTACAAATACACTATTCATCTTTGTTTGATAGTACATTTAAGATCGGCTCGATGTCAATTAGCTAAGCACTTGTACTTTAAAATGATCAAGTACCTATAGTGAAATGAGAGAGAGAGTTTACAATCAAGAGTATAATACGTCGAGACTTTATGCTTCCAGATCTTTGTTCATTTGATGTTGGTAAGACAATCGTGGATCTAGTCGAGGTAAGTTTCCAGGTGGCATATCTGGATCCAGATAGGGAGACAAGTGGTATGAAAAGTCACAATTCAAAGCTATTCCAGAGGGACTGATCACCCCAAAGATTGGTGTGTTCACGTTATATGGGTATTTAGTGTGGGAATCTGATCAAATGACCATTTGTTTGATAGTGATGACACAATTGGTTAGTAGCAAATGTTTGTAGATTTCCTCCTTAGACTAAGTTAAGTATCAACTTTCTCACAGTTGACAGTCAACCGTTATAACATATTTGCAATAATTTGCGGGTCAATGTGAGGGAGGAAAGGACTCATTGACAGTTAAGTCCCTTCAGAAACGTAAGGTAAAAAGGAAAGTTTCTACACATATCCTTTCATTAAAATTTATAGAAAAATATCCCTTGGATTCTCACAATAATAATAATAAGCTCAGTGCCCAAACAGTTAGGAGTTGAAATTTGGTACAAATTTGGTACTGTACATCATGAGAATGTACACTAAGTGGGAATTTTTCGAAATTCCTTCCGAAGGGGGAGAGGGCTAACCCTTCTAATCTTAATATCTGTTCTTATTCTTTGCCCGTGCAATGCTGGGATTACCTGCTAGTTTTTTATATTTATTGATATAATGTTATTAAAATATGCTGTAACTGTAATTTAAAGTACATAAGCACAAAATGTATTTAATTAAAACAAATCAAAAGAAAGCTTGTATTAATTGAAGAAAGTTATAAGATGCATTTTTTTTTTGTATAGATACTGAAGGTGATTTAATTATAATGTCAAGTGATGAAGAGTTGATGCAAGCAATTTCAAATGCAGAAAATGGTCTTTTAAGAGTTTATATCATGGTTTTAAATACAAAAAATCAAAAGCCACCAAAATCATCTTCAGTTGGTGAATTGCATTTTGGTGTCGTTTGCGATGGTTGTAATGGAGAAGTTAGAGGGGCAAGATATAAATGTTTGCAATGTGATGATTATGATTTGTGTAATAGTTGTCATCTAAAGGATATTCATCCCAATCATGATATGCTGAAATTATGTACTTCTGTTTCGGTAAGTAGTAAATCTATGTTTTTATGTTATTGTTAAACAATATGATCATTTAACATGGCTTATACATAGAAAATAGCTACAAATTTCTAAATTTTATATTTTCTCTCTTTCACATTAATTATTATGATATATAAATAGAATCTTTGTAATAACAGATATTGTTATTGGAATAAGCATATCATAAAAGTAGAAATTAAAATACACGTACGTAACTATAAATCAAAACTCTGATTACAGTAAGCAGTTATTATCTTCAGGTAAATAGGAATTTTTAAGCTGTCAGTCTCAAAATGTTGCTAATTGAAGATAAAATTGTTATCATTAATCATTTTAATTATTAGTTATTCACAGTACAGTAGTGTAAATTTCTGACATGTTTTAATTATACACTGGATGAATTACTATTATAATTGATAAATCTTCAAGTTATACGTTTTTAATTGTTTAAATATGTTGTTTTAATTTCACAATCAATAAAACCAAATTTCCGAACAGTAGTTTTATTATCTTTGCTTAATATTATCAGATGATATTATAAATTAGTCCCCAAAGCGATTTACAATAAGTTTACTATATATTATTCATATTATTTAGACATAGAATGTTTTTAATAATAGTTTTAATAATTAACAAAATGAAAATATTAANTTTTAAATGCTTTAATATATTCTTTACAGGCTAGTTCTTTACTATAAAGTATATAATTGTGTTATGTATAGTACATACACATGTACTGTACATACTTTAATATAAAGAATCTATTTATAGCCTACATATTCTAATGTATGCAGCCTGCATATAATACATTAATGTGTACAGGTACATATATTAAGTATATAAATATAACATATATAATATTTATATACTTAATATATGTATGTGTATGTACAGTACCTGTACATTTTTTACATTAAAGTGCGTGAATTATATTGAATTATGTACACTACATACTCATGTACAGTACTCACTTAAATGTAAACAATGTACTGGTACATACATTAATGCAATATATACAGTACATTACAACCATAAATAATAAATTTTCATCCTAAATTATTTTATATTCCTTTAAAAACTTTAAGCCATTATGAGTCACCATAGAAAAACTATTCTAGAAAAATCTCTATACGAATCCATTACTAACGATTACATCAGTTCTAAATTTGCTAGAATGTTCCATATAAGAAACATGTTTTATCAGAAAATTTACTTTCAGCTTCTATCATTGGTGAAATATTTGAATTTTCATCAACCGTATCTGATTTATTTACATTATGTCGCTCGTTACAATTGGCCGGGAGTACGTGACGTAACCGAAGACGTTACTTACCGAATACAATTGGTTAACGCCACTCCTACGTCAGACGAAATAACCAATAAAGTGTCAGTTTACATTCTGAATTGGATTGTACTTAATCACGATGATTCTGCCATTTTGAGGAGATCTCGTCTCTGACATAACTGATTTGTATAGAGTTTTTTTATTCGTTTGCGGTCCACATACGGCTTATATATAAATAAGCTTGAAGGAGCACAGAGTTTTATAATCATTCCTCGACTTTGACGAACGAACGATCGATTTATCAGGTAAATATTTTAATTAATTAATTATAAAGTGTGTAACGTGTTTGTGAATATGTACGTTTTATATATTTAATTTAAAAAACACATGCCTAATTGCATATGACGCATTAGATTAATGTTATTTTCTCGCTGCCATATTGATGTTTCGCAATACTTTCCTGCGATTTGTTCGTGTTTACGTTATTTTAGCCAGGAATTGATCATTTGGAGAGACAAAATAGAAAATTATGACTGTCATTTTTCTCTTTTCAGCCAGCAATTGGCATATTGACTACTAAAGTAAGCAACAGTGATCTAAGTTACACTTATATAATTATAATTATGCATATGAGCACTGTTGACTTAAACTGAGTGGAATTAGCCATCTTATAGCTCCCATAGATACAGGTCTGATTTTAACTAAAATATTAGGTTGAATATAAGACAATGATTTAGAAACTTAAAACACTACGGCTGACTTTATATTGTATAAATGTAGAATACCTACCGGCGTTCCGATTAAGTCTGTCGAACGGTAAACCTGAGTTTGTCTTATAACAGTCTGTTATAATTGTGGGACAGAGTCGTCTCCCAATTAAAACAAACATGTTTGTTGCGTATACGACAACTGAATTAAATCCAGTTTTCGTGTACGCAATATGTTTCTCGAGCTGTTATTTTTGTGGAAAATTCAAAACAGATTTTGTTATAAAACAAACTTGGGTTAACCAAGTTTGATAGTATTAATTGGAATACCAATAGGTTTTCTGCATTTATATTAGGTGGTTATATATACAGGTTTTGTAAAAGTAACTTTAAACAAACATTAAAATTATAGTACGCAACTACTCAAAACTGGGTATACGTAATAAACAAAGCGAACAAAACCCAAGGTAAACGGCACCGTCGGTGATGAATGCTCTGCTTGATGTGGTCAAAAATGTTTGCAAAACAAACAAGAACAAACAAGAGATTGTTCTTGTTTGTTTTGTTTATAAAATTATAACATGTTATAAATACACTAAGCAATCCTTTTCAGATTTAATGTATAATTTCCATGATGGCAACTTAAAATTTCATTAAGAGAAATTAGTAGAGGTTTCTTTTTAGATGATTTATAATATACTTGCTAGTGAGTTTTTTTCTAGTATTAAACTAACTACAAACAATTTCATTTTTTTTTTTTTTTGATATACAGTTGACCCAATTGATATGACAGAATTCATATAAAACAGAATCATCAACAGTGTTATAGGGGGGTCGACTGTACACTTATATAAACAAAAGCAATTTCTACCAAAATCAATAACAGTAAATTATTTGTTACTATGGCTTTAATAGAGATTAAATAAACTGTTAATTCCATAATAATAATACCNTCTTAAAGTTTTAGCCACTGAATTGTATTATAAATGAATGTTTTCATTAATAAATACCTTATTTTTGTGATATTATATTATATTCTTTTATATATATTTATAAGTGTTAAGCTTAGTGGTATGTTTCTAAAAACAAAATGATGTCTTGAAAAATTTCATATAGAAAATTAAGGATATACTTAAAAAAATTTATTAAAGACTTCAAATAAGCTGTTAAACCTTTCCAATTTGTAATAAAATAAATTCAATTTGGTGAGATAAGGCAAAGCAACATGAGCAGTCCACAAGAGAAAGGCTTTCTATGGGAAATGGTTCCTATTTAGGTGTTATATATGTGAAGAAACCTCGGAAAACTTCACTCGGCTGGCCCATTGCTTGGGCACAAACTTTCCGACTACCATTGTTCTCTGGTTAGGAGTAGAATAAATTCTTTACATATAGAAGTCCTTTGTAATGAGGTTGAATATAAAAACTATACATTTTATATTCTGAAGCAATGTTTATTCAACTGACATTCAGTAGAATCGATGGATTTTTGAATGATATAAGAGTCCCCTCTCATCTTTATATATTAAATTTTAATTTACAGTCCAGAAAACTCTGATATGTAAAGTATTTATTTTACTACAGTTAATTTTAAATAAAGGAGTAAAGGAGAGATTTTAGAATAAATAATTTAAATTAAATATTAAAAATTATTAGTGATTGTAGTTCATTTGTCTGTCCTGTTTATTGTTTGTTTATTTTAGAATAGTAATGACTGAGTTTGTAGCAATTGGTATTTGATTTATGATTATGTATTTATAATTTAAATGTAATGTAAACAGTAAAAATGTACAGAAATTAATCAACTCGTACTCCAAAATATAAATATTTCATCGTACATTAAAACATGGCAAAATATTTAAATATTTTATTGGAAAAAATTCATAATTAAACAGCATTTACAATATTTTAATATCGTTATCTATAGAATAATATATTATATTTGCATTTATCAAATTTCCACTTGACTATTATATAAAATTTCCGCAAATATATATATTTTCTTCCGAACAAATATTACAAATTGTAATAGCATAATATATATTTTTTGTTTATCTTTTTTTTTTCTTAGTTTTTACATATAAAACCTGGTTATACATAATTTAAGCTCATTTTTTTGTTGAATAACTTTATAATATATTGCACATAACAGAAGTAACATTAACATAAACTTTATAATTTATATTATTTGCTATTATTAAACATTCAATCGCATGTATACAATTTGTATAAAGACTTTGACTCGTAGACATGAAAGAAAATCATAATATTTATAAAAACTGGTCCATTCGTATTAATAATAATTGTAAATAATTAAAATTTTGGGACGATTTTACCTCACAGAGGCATTAAGGATGATAATTTCCACTTTCTTTTTTATTTTATTAAGTGTAAATAAGGTAGTAAAGCTTACATTTCGTGCTTATAAATAATGTTAAAAATAAATTATTATTATTTTTTTAACAATTTAAAATCTTCAATAATAAAATAATTAACTTCTTTTCTCATTGTATTAGCATACAACTTGAGAAAATTAGTGTTGAAAGAGGAGTTGTTTTTTTCTAATTAATTAATTTTGCGTTGCTTTTCTTTGTTTGTAATTAAAAATAAGCTAAAAGTGACTTAATTAGATTGATTGAATTAATCTCAAATTTAAATTTTTAATTATTTGATTTGAGATTTAGTTTCGGATGAGTGAATAACTGTAGGATTTGGATAAAACAATAAAATTAAAAACGTTAATCGAATTTTGAGATGATAGTAAGATAATAAGTGAAAGGTATTTTAGTGTTTACGCAATTTAAAATTCTTGGATTTCTTTAGAAAATTTGCTAATAAAATTTTAAAGTCCAAATATAAAATTAAGGCTTTCGAATAGAAACCTCAGAATCGCGAGAAGGGAACGACACAGAATAATTTTAAATGTTACACTGCTTAAAAACTGAGATCAATGAATAATAAAATTCATGTTTTAAAAAATGATAAGATGAATTTTAAAAACTATTAATCTGTAAAGTCATACGTGCCATAGCAAGAGATGATTTGTGCTATCGTCGTGACCTAAAGCTTCACTAAAACCACTTTGGAAATCTTCGTAACCGTCTCCGCCGCTTATAACTAATAATTTATTGTTTTTGATTATTTCGTCGGGATTATCTGAATACGACAGTCTATGAGTATCGCAAAATTGTTCCATATCTACACACGTTAAGAATCTCACGTGACCCGTGTGTCCTTGAGATATCCCTGAAAGTAAAAATTAAATAATTTAAAAGATAAGAAATCTAACGTCCATAAAAATGAATATTCTATGAATTCTGTAAAACCAGAATTAATAGTTTTCAGTTAATGATGTATGTAAAGTGATATATGAAGTCAAAAAATAATTCTAAAATAGTATATTATCGACCTAACTTTTTATTTTATTTTTATATTTGAAAAATGAGGATGATCTGTGGAAGAATTAGACATTAAGCTATCGATTTTTTAAGTTGAATTATAATTAAATTTGTATTATAGATGAAAAGTTTGTATAAAATAAACATGCCAACACCAAAAATCCAACAACTTAAACACTTTTGAAAACGTTTGTTTGTCTAGTACTGTCTTAAACTGACATCATCAGATTCAAACCCGCAACATTCAAATGGAAGTTTAATTAGAACAGATTTTTCAATTAAAAAAATAGATGTTATAAGTTGCAAAAGCATGCATAACAGATGCTATATATCTATTAGATCAACAAATTTAAGTTCCTCCATCCCCCTCACAACACTGAATTGTTGGTGCTATGAGGGAGATGAAGGAACAAAGGATCTTAATCTCAAATGTTTCAGGTTAGAACTGGATGATGACCATTTAAGACAATCAGAAACGTTTGTTTGTTTAGTAGTTTTAAATGGTCATCATCCAGTTCTAACCTGATACATTTGAGATTAAGATCCTTTTACTAAGTTCCTTTGAGGTTCCTTCATCTTCCTCATAGCACCAACAATTCAGTGCTGTGAGGGGGATGGAGGAACTTAAATTTGTTGATCTAATAGATATATAGCATCTGTTATGCATGCTTTTGCAACTTATAACATCAGATTTTTCAATTAAAAAAATAGTTCTAATTAAACTTCCATTCGAATGTTGCGGGTTCGAACCCGACGATGTGAGTTTAAGATAGTTGAAAATGTTTGTCTGTCTAGTAAAGTGTTTACGTTGTTGGATTTTTGGTGTTTTTGTGTTTATTTATATATCCACTTCGTATATTTTTGTTTTATTTGTGTATGAAAAACATTGTATTCTTAGTTAGGATGTTATGATAATTCTTTGTATACAAAAATTACATTTCATAGTACAAAAACCTGTTTTTTTTAATTATAAAGATATTTATTGAAACAGAAATGATTTCCTGTAGAAATTTTCTCTTAAAATTATAAAATAAATGATTTTTTTTATAACATTGCATATCTTATAACAAAAATAAAGCATTCTATAGCATATAATAATCTCATACACTTGTATTTTATAAATATTTAAACTAAAACATTTTAATTTAGTAAGTGTAAAAGTATTTTATAATTGTATATATTATAATTAATTATACATACCAGAAATATTTATGTTGTCTAAGCAATTAAATACAGACGTGACATTAGATAAAGGCATCGTAAGTACAACTCCTGCACTGGTTCCTATCCACAGTAAATCCTTACAAGCTAGCAATGAAGTAATGCGTAAACAGGCAGATTTATGTTGTTGTATTATATCATCACAACCTGATTTTATATAATGAAATATGTTTAAAATGTAAAAAAAAAAAACAATATAGATTACTTTTATAAAATCTGTATTTTGCTTACAAGCGAGCATTTTCGAAACTGCGGGAACCACACTAATATCTGTTAGATATTCGTAAGTTGTAGCATGATAAAGAAAAATAACAGGACTGCACTGAAGTGCAATCCATACTCCTAATCCAGACAAGACCATAGATATTACGGATTTTGTAGAATCTTGTCCAACTTGGATGGAATACTGAAAAAAAAATAAAGAAAATTATCCTACATAATTCTAATTACAATGAGCAATTATTTATTTTCACATTGTCACAATGCTGGGCTGCAATCTTTTAAATCTCGATGCATAATGCTATTGATTTTAGTAGTGTCTTGCCCCTGTACATCATACTTTTCCTGCAAACTGTTCTGGAAAAAATTTTTGAATTAAAATAGCGTGACTTCCAGTCAAACTGGAAGTTAATTGGGCCTCCAGATCCTAAGCTTTCCATATGTAGTCTTGACTTTCATCTACCTAACTCCGTTCTCGAGATTAAGAAAGGGCAGATGGCCAAACATATGCCAGTGGGAATTTATAGATCTGCAATTTTAAAACTGCAGCCCAACAACATTCAATAAACCTGGGCTTCTTAAACTGTGAGTTGCAACCCTGCAACCCCTTTGAAGTCTAAAATTAAACATTGGTCAACTCTAAAAAACACTGAAAATGTCCTGCATTCCGCAGTATCAATATTTAATTCTTTATGTAAAAATAAACAAGCACATCCATCTCATTTGTATGAAAATTTTCTTGTCTTTAATAAATAATAAATTAATACCTATATCAAAGAATTGTTTTATGATTTATTATCAGTAAGTGGTTTTATTTGTATACCTATTTTATATACTGGGAATTGCATAAAATTTTCTTGGGCGAAGAGGGTTGCAAATGGAAAAAGTTTAAGAAGACCCACAATAAACTATACTTACTTCAACTTTATGCGTGTCAGTGTTGAGGACTTTGATAAAATTCTGACAGCCACACCACAATTTTCCATTCACGCCAAGCATATAAGTAACAGAAGACGAACCGTTTCCTATTTGGATCTTTAGAGTTTGATCGAAATTCCAAATTCCACCTTTATTTTATTTGAAAATGTTTTTTAAAATTCATAACAATGCATATATAACTACAATGAAAAACTACTTACTATCTTTCCTTGTGTATATAGCTAGCTCTCCATTTGCAAGTGATACAAATATCTGGTTGTCAAAGTACCTTAAATTATAAAATACAGAATTCTAATTACGTATATAATTAAATTATTTCAATGTTTAATTATAAATATTTGTAAGAATTTTAAAGGAATATTTAAAAATTTTCTGTTTACATGTAAAATAATTTGTGTGTCATTAACATTTTAAGTTCATTGAACATGAGATCAAACTAGCAGGGAGTTATGTTGTTATTTTGCATCAAATTTTATTGATATTAACTTAGATTTTGCCAAAGTAAGCCCTTTTTTTTCTGTTAAAAAATGCCATTAAGTTAACCTTAAAAAGAAATAAATGTGAAATGCATGTTTGTCTTCGATTTTGGTTTTAATTAAAGTCCATCAAAACATTTTTTTTATTTGCTTTCATGTTCCAGAATACATCTCGTGATAGCCTGACTTTCCTTTTTAGGTCATTTGTCCATCAAAAAATTAAAAACTCTCTTATTTAATTCTGATTTTTTGAAAGTTTTTTGTTATATTTTTTCATGTTCGAATAGCCTAAAAAAAAGGTGGTCAGTGCATCAGGAGATGCATTCTGGAACATGAAAGTGAATAAAAAGATGACTGTTTGACAGACTTCTTCTTTAATTTTGGTTTAATTAATATTAAAATTACCATCCAGCGAATTTAACAAATTAGTTTCCAATTTGTTAGGGACTTAATTACAAAATTAATAAATTTTGAATAGAAATTTTGAAGCTTTAAAAATGTTTACCAATTTCCAAGCTTAATATAACTTTTTTAGTTTTATAATCATAAAAATAACAGCTGATGTATACATTAACCCCATAAACTACTAAATTTAAGGAGCTTTTGACAAAATGACACATAAAATCAATATAAATATATAAATATTTAGGCTAAAAAGATGAAAAAATAATTTTCTTATTTAAATATTTCTTTTTAAATAATAATAATAGAAATTCAGACTGTAAATCTTTTATTGTTTTATTTCAGAATATAATAGAAAATTATATATTCAAACAAGTCTTTAATGATTCACCAAAATTACACTGGTTATAGGCTATTAATTTATTTAATTATGGAATAATTCGGTGCCACGTTTAAGTGCGTTATTTGGCAATACACTTAACGTTTCAATAATTTAATCATGAAGGAACTATAGTATAGATAAAAATAGAAACTATGCTATAATTAGAAACAGAATTCAAATTCACCAGTCACAACAAATCCATTCATTCAACATGCTGGTTACACTATGAGAACATTCCAATTTGGAAGCATTCCAGTAGTTACTGTATATAATCATAAAGATATTTATAGCATCAAACTGTTTAAGTAATTACTAAATTAATTAAACAGTTTGATGCTATAAATATCCCATTTGTTCCCTCTGTGGATGTCTGTGGCCTAGTAATTAATTAAGTATCCAATCATCAATGAAATCAAACTAGTAATTAATGTAATTAACTAATAAGGTCCAAACGTCTTAGCCAAGGACATCCACAGAGGGGCAAATGGGGCACTAACCCTCTCTGGGATTGAGTAAAACTTCCACAAATTATAATCATAAAAATGATCGAGACTTGTAACCTTACACCCTCAACCACGAGACTCTTTGTCTTAAAAAACCCTCAAAAATTTAATTAAATATAAATTTATTGATGTAATTATTTATCTCAAAGCTTTGCCCACCATGGTCTAAGCACATCACGATCGTGACTAACAGCTAAAATCTAGGTATAATCCATTCAGTTCAACCGAATTTTTAATTAAAGCCAAACAAACTGCCGGATTACCAGGCTACATTAAGGCAAATTTTAATATTTTATTAAAATTAGCTTTAATTGAGTGGGATAATCTGGCAGTTCATTTAGCTTTCATCTAGATACAACAACAGAAAAAAATTCTGAATACCAATCAAAAATTTTTAAATATACCTACACCAGGCAAAATATAGGAGAAGAATGCTGAATTTTGGTTTTATTTTTCTTTATTCTGATATTTTCATTACAGCTATAAACAAGAATACTGAAATAAAAATAATAAAACATAAGACATAGCTTATTTCAATATAAAATTATATATTAACTAACTACAGTATAAAATGCTAAAACAGTTCAATGTAAGTCTGGGATTTATCAAGGTTATACTATATCATCAGATCTAATAACACGACAGTTGAACATCAAGACATAAAAAAATTCTTTGTTGATTTTGTTTAAAACCTTTTAAAATGCTAATAACAAGTAAAATAGTCATTAAGTCTGACCCTACTGGAGATGTAACACACGAGCCCCTTTATCTCCCAACTCCCTCGACCTTTAACCACCAAAATTTAATAGCATCAATCTCCCTAATAAACAAACCTCCCTGCAAAATTTCAGAAATTTTCGACAAAAAGCACAGAAGTTATTAAGCTTCAAAGAGGGTAAAGAAAATAGTACCCCCCCACACATCCATACATACAGAAAAAAACCCCAGAATTTTTTTGCATTTCTCGACATTTCAAGGTCTCTAGTCCAAAAATGTATAATTCTTGGGGGTCATTTTTTTGACCAATGGCCATACTTTCCCTCTGTTATATATATAAGAGAGCTGGAAAAATAAAAATGCATCAGGTATACCGGTAAATGTTAATATCCCAGTGATAGATCTGATGATGAAAAACATTTGATCTAGTGGCAACATTATAATTTAATGGGAGCCCAGGAAAATTTGAATTATGGGCCCCCATATACAGTGTTGACTTCAGACATTTTTCTTCACAGGAATTTTTTGGAGGAATCCCCGATATCCTCGTTTGGTTTTTAACGAGACCTCCGGAGGGTTAAGTTCTGCGCTGCACCACACCGGCAATCTAGGATCCAAGGTATGGCCCAAATTTAATTTCGATATTCTTTCTACAGTAATGAGTTTATAAAAGATTGGTTTGGGCCCCCAGGCAATTGTCCTTTTTGCTCATAAGATAATGTTCAAATGTTGTGATGTTTTGAACTCTAAGTTAAGCTATCTCTGCTAGCTTGTGGAAAACTAATGCTAACTTTAAGCAGGATCAGAGCTAAATTCAAGCTTGGTGAAATACATTAAGAACAATGTTTTCGAAATCGATTTTTGAACATCATTGTTCTGACATTTGACTTTGGAATTTGGTTTTGTTAAAAACCTGAGGCAGACCTTGGTGAAGGCCAAAAATGTTCAGAATTTTCATTGAAGTTCTGTTACTGGATAAAAGGTTTTGTTTGTATTTAATGTCTTCCCCATTAAGACTTACAAAATTTGCACAGGAAGATATTTTCTATTTTTGTTTCTGCAAACCTTTTTGAAAATAAAATATATAAAATAACTAACATCACTCTACAATGAATAGCTGAAAGAGATTTTAATATAGAGTACAACAAAATTTCTTCCAATTTTGATGATATTCTATTGAAAAAGTAATTGCAAAGTTTATATTGATTTTGTCTGTTATTTAGAAATAAATTTTAAAAAATATCAATTATTTTACTATCTATCTTTCATACCCAGCCCTCGGACTTGTCTTTCACAGCTCTCATGGGCTTTCTCAACAAATTTCAGAGATCTTTTGGACTGAATATTTCTCTTTAGGAGAGAAAGAAGCTTCTTTAGATTATTATTGCAATTACAAGAAAATTATCTATGAAGATTGTGTTCAGATCTAGATATTTAGTTCTATTAAATATTTTTATATTTAGTTCTTATTTAAATAGCTTATCAATTTTAATTTATAAATATATAACATATGTAATTATCGTCATTAAAGACTTATAATTATTAGCAACTTAAAAACAATTCTTTATAATATAAATTGACAAAAAATTTTAAGAATTATTATGTCAATTTATATTATAAAGAATTGTGTAAATAAAATCTACAGTTTCACTTATTATGAGTTCATATTCATAATATTTTTTGAAATAAGTAAAGTCTTGATCCAGTTTTGTGAAAATGGTAACAGTCATTTGTTTGCAGGTCATCAAGAATGCTGATCCAAGAAAAGAGAATCATTGTGATTTTACACATGTATGTTAACTCACTAAAACATGGGCCATACCATCAAATCTTCCTGTTCTATAACCTTCAAACAATCACAACATTGCTTGGCAGGTGGCATAGTCTTCTTTCTCCTCCTTCAGCTTATGAAAAACCTGGAGTCGTTATGCATGATTTATGAGTTTCTTTCAAACTATTGGGTACGGCACATTGTATACATTACCCATTTGCCTGAATTTGTTAACTAACAGTCTAGTATTGGTTCTGGAGCAGACTTCATGAATTTTTGAATGAAATTTATTTGTATTTCTATATATTAATCCACTAAAACTGTGCACGCAACAGCAATTCTTTCATCTTGGATCAACATATTTCACACAATCTGCATAGAAATGATTTTGTTACATTTTCACAAAAATGGATTGAGATTTTATAATCACTCTGTGTATTGCAAATTATAAAGTATAAGAATTAAAGATGTGAATATTGAAATGATTTACAATATTAAAATAAATATAATGTTAATTTTTCAATTTTAGATAAGATATGAAAAAATTTAATTTATATACCTTTTTATTTTAATTTCTGTATCGAACTCATTGAAAAATTATTTAGTTTTTAGGCTCAATTTTATTCTGGAATTAATAAATGTAACCTGTGTAATATCAAATATATCTATTATAAAATGTTATAAGATTAAATCAAAAGTTTTTTAAACCAGTTTGATTGAATTATAGCTTAGAACAAATTCTAGATTAATGATGATAAAGATGAAAAGTTATTTACTGCAATTGGTTTCAATGCTAAATAAACTTAAGAATTTTATATTAGCATGTTCTAAAATATTTGTGGATTATAAGTTTTTCAATATTACTTAAAATTTGTTATTTTTTTCAAGCATGATCATTGGTGGGGATTTCCTCGATGGCGACGAGTTTGGCGTCACGTGTTTGGCAAACCTTCTGAAAGAGGACACTTTGGTGGATTTGACAGTGAAGAATTTTGTCCACGTTCACATTATAAGGGTAAATCTCATCACAAGACTTACAATGCTAAAAATGATAAAAAACAAAGTTTTGATGATTTGCATCATGATGAAGAAGTTTCTGAAAAAACAAAAGAATTTATTAAAAATGTTGTTGACACAGTTGGTGCTGTATTAGATCCTTTAGGTAATAATTTTTGTTCTTACAATTAATTTAAAAATAAATAAGTAAATTTTAGAAAAAATTACAATTTTGTTTTATATATAGATCAATATATCAAATATACAATTTTGTTTTATATATATATATTGTTTTATATATAGGAAAACACAGTTATTTCTTTTAGTAAAGATATAAATAGTATAATAGAAATTTCTAAACTTAATTATATAAAATTACTAAATTACTATATTTTAATTGTTTTCATTTTAGGACTAGTCTTAAGATAAAAATAATAACAAATGATAGCTAAAATGACAGAAATTACATAAGTGCACATAAAAATATATATAAAAATTTGCAAGGACAAGCATGAAAAGAAATAACAGTGTACATTATACAAATTGCACAGAGTATATATTAAAAATAAATTGAAGTTTAATTTTTAAAATCTTTTGTGGAATAAAAAGTTTTCAAATGAACGTAATTTTCTTACAAGTTTACACAAAGAAATTTATTTTTTTAAATCAAAATTTTTGTAATTAATTATTGTCCTTATTTTAAAATCATTTTAAACATTTATTTCAGGAATCCAATTAAATATAGATATTATAAATGGTAATGACAAACAAGAATCTCCAAAGGAGAATATTGCTACTGAACCAAATTCTTCACCTAAAAAAAATCAAAATGTTGATGTTACAGAAGAACAGCTACAACAGAATAATGACAAAGCATCGCCACCTCAAGAAAATAATTCTACTAAAGTGAAAACAGTTATGAATGAAACAGCTGCAACATCAGAATCTTCTGCAGTACCATCTGCACCCCTTCCAGAAAATGAACCTTCGGCTGGAGATGAAACTACCACTAGTGTTAATGAAAGGGTAAATGTTGTTTATTTTATGGCTAAATAACACACCCAGCAGTGAGAAATAGTTAACAATCACCTTATTCTTACTCAGAAATGTTTATTTGTATTTCTCAGCAGAAATAAGGTGATTAAGTAAATTTATATTTTATCTGTAAACATCTTTATAAGCATTTAGGGTTAATCTGTATAAATTATAATTATATAATATTCCCATGTGTTATGAAGCAAATAAGGTGATATATATTCTCTACATATTTAACACAGAATCAAATGCTATGCAGTTGAATAATTTTTATTTTAAAATAAATTAGAAAAGCAAACATGGTGAATGAATAATTTACTTTATAGAATTCGATTAGTCCAGCAAAATTTACAGCAAAGAAATGTTTCCATCCATCTACTGATCAAAATGCCATTCAAGATGGCTGAAAACATTTGCTTACTATAACTTTGTGAATTGAAAGTTTCCTGCTGTAAATTAAAATTTGAAATAAAATTAATTTCCAACAAATTAATAAATTTCATAATTGTTATAGAGTTAAATTTCAAACATAAAGTGTTAGAATAAAACAATTCTCTTGTAAAAAAAAAAAATTTGATTTAAATTAATTTCAAATCCATTAAAAAACTTAAACTAAAAATTTTAAATACTATATTTACTCGCATATAAGATGATCCTGCATATAGGATATGGTGTGACTTTAAAGATCAAAATAAAGAAAATTAGATTTATTAATACAATTCTAATTTTATTTAGTTTAATCACAAATAAAATATCAAATGCATGTAAATGCACACATTGTCCCTCAAAAATTACTGGCATTTTAAACTTTAAGGAAGAATCTTGTAAAATCGACAACATAATTTGTTCATGTAAAACTGGACAATCAGGAACCTTTTTTGCCAATTCTTAACAGTTGAATCCACTGTCTGTCGATTACACTTATGAGTTTTTCTGATTTCCAAATAATCATCTGTTTTCACATGGGAATGGATTAAAACTAATATCAGGCTCCTGTGTGATTTTGGAATTTCAACTTTGAATTCAATTCAAAGGCTTTGCTTTTCCTATTGCTATTCATCTTTACTCCTGACAATACACAAGAACGATTTAAAGGACTCAGATAAAATACTTTTGTTTTTGAACACCATAGCATGATAAAAAATGCAAATACATTGTTTACAAAAATTATTCCAAAATACAAAGAATTCTTTACTCTCACATATACGACAACCTAGGTTTTTAAAGCAGTGAAAAAGGAATAAAAACCTCATCTTATATGTGAGTAACTATGGTAATTTAAAACTGAAACAATTCAAATGATAGTGATAACATTGTAAAAACATCTAAAGTATTATTTAAAAAAACAATCTAGAAATTTCTTATGAAATAGCTAGTGATTAATATATTTTTAAAGATAAAAATTTGGTAAATTATATTTTGTAGGAAACACCTGAAGCAGAGAATGAATGGACTGTGGTTAGTGATGGAGACATTGGAAACAATCATAAAACATCAATTCCAGAAGGGGCTCAAGCTGCAGCTATTGAAGGGACATCAAGTACATATCTAAAAGTTTCTCCTGAAGATTTACATCCAGGTTAATATTTACTGATATTTTACATATTCTTTTTCTTAAAAGTAATATCTATGTATAATTTTAATCATTTTGATTATAAAATTACATTATGATAAAATTTGAAATGTACAATACAGTGCATATGGTTATTTTAATTTTAAAAAATTATAGCAAATGGATTATTTTAAACTAGTTTATATTTACTTTTTATTTATTATAATATAGCCTAAAATTAATTCGTTTTTAAATTACTTTTAATTTTTTATATTCTACTTCTAGAAGTTTTTGAATTTACTTGTTTAGCATAATGTATTGTGAATCTAGTTTGTCATTTTACATTAAAAAAAATAGATAATTATTTTTAAAAATATTAAATAAATATAACAACACATACATTAAGCCTTAAAACTGAAAGAAGTAGTAAAATATTTCATTTAATTTAAATTAATGAGACAAAGTAAAGAATTTAACGGGTAATTTTTTTCAATATCTATAAACCATTGAGTATTCAAAACCTTAAAACTTATGTAATTACTTATGCATCTATTATTATTTTTTTAAGCAATAGATTTCACAAATCTTTTTCCTTTTGTTACAGATCCAAAAGTTGCTATTGCTCTCAGTCAAATGCTGAATATGGGATTTACTAATGAAGGAGGTTGGCTTGCCTGTCTTCTAGAATCAAAGAATGGTAACATCAGTGCTGTGCTGGACGCTCTGAATCCTTCAGTGAAGTAATTTTGTCATATTTAAAAACAAATTTAATATATTAAAACATTTACTGTTATAGTTAAAATTAATAGGAATTATTCATGTTAATAGACACAAAAAGTATATTACTTGTAATTTTAAAAAGTAGTTTGCTGTTCAAATCAGTGGCAAAACTTGCATATATTCTTGTGTAGTGAAATTATTTTACTCTGGTATATCAAAAATATATTCGTTTTTAGAAGTGACTTTTGGTAAATTATTTACATGTAATTTTACATTCTAAATGATTTATGTTCAATACATTTGAATATATATATAATGTATACAGTCTAGTAGTATTTGTATAATGTATTTAAGTTGTTAAATAAAAATTCAAATATCCTGCAAAAAAAATTTTGCTCCATTAATTTATTCTGCCCTGCAAGCACTAAGAGTATCTTATTTTCATATCCATTATAGATTTTGTCATTAACAGGCCAGACATAACCAGATCTATCCATTCAAAACTGTTTAACCCAATCCTTTAGCTTTACATAGCTGCAAAACCATGTCAATTCAGAAATTTCAATCTCAGGTAGCTCAGAAAGTACAATGGAACTGACTGAAATAATAATAATAATAATTTGTTATTTTTAATAGTTAAAAATTTATTGCTGTATGATCATATTTATATGTTAGCAACAACAAAGGAAAGTCCTGAATTATTTTTTATTGAATCCATTCAAGGCTCAAAATTTACCATGGATAATTCTATTTACAGTATTGATCCCAGTTCTAATCTCTGCTAACCACTCCCATTACAAGTTGTTCCTATCTACAATGGAAAAACTGGAACCACACAGGACTATAATGTGTTAGTGATTTTTTTTTACAATGGATATTATGTAAATACTTGATAGGATTTACTTTTATTGTACTCTTAATTCATGATTGGGAATAATTTTAAGACTAAAAATATTCCCATCCTCATTAGTTTGAGTTGCCATGATTCATAGAATCATGGTAGAAAAGCCTTCATTCAGGTTCTTTACAAGTACAATGGTTCCAATTTTTTTTCTGGAAGGAAAATAGGTGTGATTTTTTTTGATAAAATTCTAAATAAAAATTTTTAAATAAAATTTTAATTTGAAACATGAAGTATTTATTCATTTAAATCTTTGTTATATAGGTATGAAGTAATTTTTTCTTTCCCTGTTATATATAACAGAAGGAAAGTGTGGCGATCGCTCAGAAAATGACCCCACCCACAAATCTTTACATCTTTGGACTTGGGGATCTTGAAACACAGACAAATCAAAAAAAAGCAGTGGGGTTTTTTATGCGTGGTTGACACAATTTTGTTAACCCTCTTTGAAGCTTAATCTCCTGTGCTTTTTGTCAAAAATTTCTGCCTTTCTTCAGGGAGGTGTGTGTATTGGGAGGTTGATGCTATTAAATTTTGCTGGTTAAATGTCAAGAGGGGAATCACGTGTTGTACATTGAGTGAAGATTTTACTGGCATTTACAATTTTTTTATAAAACTTATCCATACCTTCAAAATTAAGCTTATGCTGTTTATAATAATTAATAGTTTAGAAAGTTTTTAAAATAAATCTCATAGCAGATGGCAGTACATGCTATTTTAAATTAGAGTACCTAGATTATCAGAGAAGCAATACGCCATCGCTGCTATGTTCCATCGATTGTCATCATGTGGCCTACAGATTTACATTAAGAAATGACGATTTTTTCACTTTAATAAAGCATTTTATTTAAGAATATGACGGAGGGATGAATCTTACAGGCTCAATCTCTAGCATTAGTATTTTTAAATAAAAAATTATTTTGTTTTACTTATTAGAAAAACTAGATTGAAATTCCAAACGTTATTTTAAAGCAAACATAAGAAATCAGTCAGTAAATGAAATGGTAATTCACCTTGTCAAAATTACTACTGTATTTATTAATTTGACAGGATTTAATGTTAGAATGTACAATGTATGTATGTGTGCTTATGCAACATGCAAAGGTAAAGCTGGTTGTTGGCCTGATGTAACTCATCTCCTCTCCTGGGAAAGCTTTTGAGGGTTTTATTATTAAGTCTTTTTGTATTTTTATTTAATGTCCCGTCTTTATACTGTAAAAACTATCCATTTTTTTTCTTTAAATAAAATAAAGTTACGGTAGTTTGTTCTTACACTCTCTGGAGTAAAGATGTTTTCTTTTATGTGTTATTTTGTTATTTCACTATGTAAAACTTTTAACATCAAGGCTGTTATAATGAAGTACTTTAATATAATAATCAACCAAATAAAAATATTTAAATTTTATTTTTAACATGAAAGATATGAATCTTGTCATAATTTTTTTCTTTTAATTTATGGCAATATGGAATATGGTCATTTTTAATATATTTGTTAAATTTTTCCAAATAAAATTTTCTTATATCAATGTTTTCTTATATCAATGTGGAAAATAATATCTAAAAACATATCAAAAGTTTTATTATTACAAAAAAACATGGAATTTTTTTAAAAACTTAAAATATTCAAAATTAGTTAAAATTAAAATAGAGGACTTTCTTTGGATCCTACTGATGTAATACATTTTTTACAGGTCTTTGAGATTTGTTCTATACTTGTTATTAAACAACCAGATATATTATACAATGAATTCATTTCTGCATTGTTTACAGACATATTTTCAGCTTCAAAATTTTCTGGTATAACAACTTTATATATTCTTTTGTAGGTTCTTTGATTACATCAAGAAATTCTGATAAAAACTGTCATTATTATAACTCTCTTTTGACACATTTTTTAAATATTGAGATACAGAAATTAATTTTAAATTGTTCTTAAACTGGAGCGCAGTTGGAGTAACTTGTTTTTCACACACTAAACAAAAAATTTTCTAAACCATTTTTCAACAGCATCAATAAACCAAGCAGTTGTTAAATATTCTGGTTTAGTTTGAAATTTAAGTTTTATTATTGTTCTAGCAATTCATTTATATTCTGTGATGATATATCAGTTGGAAGATTGAATTTTTCTTTTGTTTCTTCTTTTGTTTCTTTTGTTTCTATTTTTATAATTTTATTTGTTATTAGCATACTTTTTATATTTATAAATAAATGTGGTACATCTGCAAGCAGATAAATCTTTTTATCTGAATTTAAAGAATGCTTTATGGAATTTACTATTTCGCTGTTATGACCATCTGTGATGTTCCATTTTTTCCATAATGCTTTGTTGGAGAATCCCATGTCTGATGTAATGCTAACAACATTTAAACCTAGTAATTATTTCAAATAATATATTTTCATATGAATTTCCATCTACAGCGTTACCTGTGAAATAGTAAGCTACAACTTGTTTCTATTATAAAGTAATCTCCCCTAGCATAATCACAAATACATGAGTTGCAGTCCCAGAATGTCCAGCTAAAGTGACATCACGAATATATGTTAGTTCTGCTATCAAACATTTTTGAAGGAATTACAGTAGAGCGTCGTTTATCCGAAAGTCAGTTATCCGAAAGAATTCCAGTCGCCAAATTTAAATTTTCGCTAGTGCTGTGGCACTGCAATCTTTGGTTATATCTTGGGCTACTCCAATATTTTTTATGTTTGTGTATGTGTTTTAGCTGGCAGCACTGTCACTTATGCGTGGTGTTTTTCTGAGGACTGTGTGTTGTGAGGAATTGAACGTTTTTGATATAGATAATTTCTAAAGTATAAATTTTTTTTTGTTTTTATATTTTTCAATATATTTATTTTGTTTGTAAAAAATAAAGAAATAATTTTTAACGATATAATAGCCACGATTATTATTTTAAAAAGTTTACATTAGGCTTAACATCGACGAAAATTCAACGCGATGGAGAAAAATTTCAACACGGGATAGGTTAATGTATTTTTTCGTACATAATCGGTTATCCGAAAAATAATAAGTTAACCGAACAACCCCAGTCGCCAATTGATTCGGATAAACGACGCTCTACTGTATTGTCATTTAGATGACACAATCTTTATCCTGCTAAGTTTTGAATAGTTTCATTTTAATTTTTAAATATTCAATGACTTCTGTTAATATCCCACTTTCAAATTTTAAATGTTGTAATCATCTTTGTAAAATTCTCATTGAAGGTAATGGAACGTTTTGTTTTATTAACTTCTCATATCTATTAGTTCCACAGGAAAATCTTAATTTCAAAGCTTTTTGAATAGTTTTCTTTGACCATTTCATAAATTTGGTTTTTCTTTTCATGGCAGATATTTGGTCATTATTAAGAATTAATGATAAGATTTGATATGATTCATTATCTTCTTTAGCCTTTACTACTTCCTTTTCCAAAATTTGACAGTTTTGTATTTGACATTTGTTATGAATTTATTGATACCGTATTTACTATCCCCGTTTATTGTTAAATCTAAATAATCTAATCTATTATTTACTCCCTCTATTTCAAACACACATTTTGTATGTAAATTATTTATTTATTTGTTAAATTTTCAATACTTATTTTTTCCGAATTAACATAAAACAATCAACTATATATCTATCTGTCATGAAAAATAACTTCTAATATCTGTTTTATTATATTATCTATTGCAACTATTGTTTTTCTGCCAAGTTGGGGCCGATACAACTACCTACCCCACAGCATTCCATTCTTTCCATTAAACTCGAAATGATTATTTTTTAACACAAATTCGAGACTAAATCTATTATTTACAATGGACAATTCTGACATTCTAACGCTAATTTTATATACATAGTTTTAGTAGCTAATACACCAGTTTTACATTTTTGGTTATTATTTCATCTTTGAGGCCCACTAGTTGCCAAGCCAAGTTATAAAACTACTTGTCACTGGTCCGTTGAAAGGCGCGAAACCACGGTCAACTAACAGTGTTCACTGGTACTCTGGTATGTACTGGTATGACATCGCGCATGCCAATGGACTGGCCACGTGGAGTTTTAAGGGTTTTCTTCGCGTTTATATCGTCTAAATATGGACATAATCTTTAATTAAACATTCATTATTCTGGTTCTGTAGCGATACTACAAGTATTTTCTTTGATAATACTTGCAAAACAGAATCCTTTCCAAGTCGTGATCTCGTTAATCGTCGTGTTAATCTCTTCCTACTAAAATAATTTGATCTTTCGCTAAGATTCTGATCCAAATTTCTTTTTTCTTCTGAATGTTTACCATTTACATCTTTCGTTTTCTGGCGTTAAAAGTGTCGTGCCGAAATCGTTCATAAAAATATGATCTTATAAGTTCGATCATATGAGTCTTCATGAGTTCCAATATTCACAATGTTTTTTTGATTTTCGATGTTTACGAAGCTCCAACGATTCATGTTCCTGCTGATCCCGTGCTGCTTCTCCCTTCCCACTACGGCAAATGGTA